TACACTCTTCCCCCTAAACCCCTCCCTGACCCCTACTCTCCCCTCCCAAGACCCCTACCGGACCACCTACACTCCAACCGTTGACCCCTCCCAGTCCACCTACACCTCTCCCCCCTAGACCCCTCCCTGCCCACCTACACACTCCCTCCTAGACCCCTCCCTGACCACCTACTCTCCCCCTCCCTGACCACCTACACTCACCCTCCCTGGACCCCTCCCTGACACACTACACTCTCCCCTGGACCCCTCCCTGACCACCACACTCTGCTGGACCCCTCCTTACCACCTACACTCTCCCCCTGGACCCCTCCCTGACCACCTACACTCTCCCCCCTGGACCCCTCCCTGACCACCTACACTCTCCCCCCTGGACCCCTCCCTGACCACCTACACTCTTTCCTGGACCCCTCCTGACTACCACACTCCTCCCTGGACCCCTTGCTGACTACCTACACTCCCCCCTGGACCCCTCCCTGTCCACCTACACTCTTCCCCCTAGACCCCTCCCAGTCCACCTACACTCTCCCCCCTAGACCCTCCCAGTCCACATACACTCCAGCCTAGACCCTCCCTGACCACCTACTCTCCCCCTCCATGGACCCTCCTTGACTACCTACACACCCTCTGGACCCCTCCCTTACCACCTACACTCTCCCTGGACCCCTCCCTGACCACCTACACTCCCCTCTGGACCCCTCCCTGACCACCTACACTCTCCCCTGGACCCCTCCCTTACCACCTACACTCTCTCCTGGACCCCTCCCTGACCACCTACACTCTCCTCCCAGGACTTCACCCTAACCACCTACACTCTCCCCCTGGACCTCTACCCGACCACCTACACTCTCCCCCTCGGGACACATCCCTGACCACCTACTCTCTCCCTTGGACCCCTCCCTGATCACCTACACTCCCTCCTGGACCTCTCCCTGACCACCTACACTACCCCCGGACAACTACACTCCCTCCCTGGACCCCTTCCTGACCACCTACACTCCCCACTGGACCCCTTCCTGACACACTTACTCTCCCCCCTAGACCCCTTCCTGACCACCTAAACTCTCCCCTAGACCCCTTCCTGACCACCTAAAACTCTCCCCCTAGACCCCTTCCTGACCACCTAAACTCTCCCCCCTAGACCCCTCCCTGACCACCTACTCTCCCCCTCCTGGACCCCTCCCTGACCACCTACACACTCCCCTGGACCCCTCCCTTACCACCTACACTCTCCCCTAGACCCCTTCCTGACCACCTACTCTCCCCCTAGACCCCTCCCTGACCACCTACACTCTCCCCCTAGACCCCTCCCTGACCACCTACACTCTCCCCCTAGACCCCTCCCTGTCCACCTACACTCTCTCCCCCCTAGACCCCTCCCTGTCCACCTACAACTTCTCCCCTAGTCCCTCCTGTCCACATACACTCTCCCCCCTAGACCCCTCCCTGACCACCTACTCTCCCCCTCCCTGGACCCTTCCCTTACCACCTACACTCTCCCCTGGACCCCTCCATGACCACCTACACTCTCCCCCCTGGACCCCTCCCTTATCACCTACACTCTCCCCTGGACCCTCCCTTACCACCTACACTCTCCCTGGACCCCTCCTGACCACCTACACTCTCCTCCCAGGACCTCAACCTAACCACCTACACTCTCCCCCTGGACCTTACCTGACCACCTACACTCTCCCCCCTGGACCCTCCCTGACCACCTACACTCTCCCCCCTGGACCTCTACCCGACCACTACACTCTCCCCCCCTTAGACCCCTCCCTGATCACCTACACTCCCTCCTGGACCTCTCCCTGACCACCTACACTCCCCCCCTGGACCCCATCCTGCCACCTACACTCCCCAGTGGACCCCTTCCTGACCACCTAAACTCTCCCCTGGACCCCTCCCTGACCACCTACACTCTCCCCTGGACCTCTCCCTGACCACCTACACACTCCCCCTGACCACCTACACTCCCCCCCTGGAACCCTCCCTGACACCTACACTCCCCCCTGGTACCCTCCCTGACCACTTACACTCTCCCCTCTGGACCTCTTTTACCATCTACACTCCCCACTGGACCCCTTCCTGACCACCTAAATTCCCACCCTGGACCTTCTGACCACCTACGCTCTCCCCTGGAACCCCTCCCTGACCACCTACACTCCTCCCCAGGACCTCACCCTCACCACCTACACTCTCCCCCCTGGACCCCTCCCTGACCACCTACACTCCCTCCTGGACCTCTCCCTGATCACCTACACTACCCCCCCCGGACTACCTACACTCGCCCTGGACCCCTAACCTGACCACCTACACTCCCCCCATGGACCCTTCCTGACCACCTAACTCTCCCCCCCTAGACCCCTTCTGACCACCTAAACTCTCTCCCCTAGACCCCTCCCTGTCCACCTACACTCTCCCCCCTAGACCCCTCCCTGACCAACCTACTCTCCCTCCCTGGACCACCTACACTCTCCCCTCTGGACCCCTCCCTTTACCACTACACTCTCCCCTAGGACCGTCCTGTCCACCTACCTCTCCCCCTGACCCGTCCCTGTCCACCTACACTCTCCCCCTAGACCCCTCCCTGTCCACCTACACTCTCCCTCTAGACCCCTCCCTGACCACCTACACTCTCCCCCTAGACCCCTCCCTGACCACCTACACTCTCCCCCCTAGACCCCTCCCTGACCACCTACACTCTCCCCCTAGACCCCTCCCTGACCACCTACACTCTCCCCCTAGGCCCCTCCCTGTCACCTACACTCCCCCTAGACCCCTCCCTGACCACCTACTCTCCCCCCCTGGACCCCTCCCTGACCACCTACACTCTCCCCTCTGGACCCCTCCCTTACCACCTACACTCTCCCCCTGGACCCCTTCCTGACCACCTACACTCTCCCCTGGACCCTCCCTGACTACCTACACTCTTAGCGGGACCCTTCCCTTACCACCTACACTCTCCCCCCTGGACCCCTCCCTTACCACCTACACTCTCCACTGGACCCCTCCGTGACCACCTACACTCTCCCCTTGGACCTCTTCCTTACCACCTACCTCTCCCCCTGGACAACTCCCTGACCACCTACTTTCTGCCCCTGTACCCCTCCCTGACTACCTACTCTCTCCCCACTTGGACCCCTCCCTGACCACTACACTCTCCCCTGGACCCCTCCTGACCACCTACACTCTCCTCCTGGACCCCTCCCTGACCACTACACTCTCCCCTGGACCCCTCCTGGACCCCTCCTGACCACCTACACTCTCCCCTGGACCCCTCCTGACTACCTACACTCTCCCCCTAGACCCTCCCTGACCACCTACTCTCTCTCTCCCTGGACCCCTCCCTGACCACCTACACTCCCCTCTGGACCCTTCTTACCACCTACACTCTCCCCCCTGGACCCCTCACTGACACCTACCCTCTCCCCTGGACCCCTCCCTGACTACCTACACTCCTCCCTGGACCCCTTGCTGATACCTACACTCCCTTCTGGACCCCTCCCTGACCACCTACACTCCCTTGGCCCTCCCTGACCACCTACACTCTCCCCCTAGACCCATCCCTGACCACCTACTCTCTCTCTCCCTGGACCCCTCCCTGACCACCTACACTCTCCCCTCTGAACCCCTCCCTGACCACCTACACTCCCCTGGACCCCTCCCTGACCACCTACACTCTCCCTGGACCCCTCCCTGACCACCTACACTCTCCCCTGGACCCCTCCCTTACCACTTACACTCTCCCCTGGACCCCTCCCTGACCACTACACTCTCCCTGGACCCCTCCCCTGGACCTCCTACACTCTCCCCTGGACCCTCCCTTACCACTTCACTCTCCCTGGACCCCTCCCTTACCACTTACACTCTCCCCTGGACTCCCTACCCTGACCACCTACACTCTCCCTGGACCCCTCCCTTACACCTTCACTCTCCCCTGTGACCCCTCCCTGACCACCTACACTCTCCTCCCTGGACCTCACCCTGACCACCTACTTCCCCCTTGGACCCCTCCCTGATCACCTACACTCCCTCCTCGACCTCTCCCTGACCACTACACTACCCCCGGACTACCTACACTCGCCCCTGGACCCCTACCTGACCACCTACACTCCCCCCTGGACCTTTCCTGACCACCTACACTCCCCCCCTGGAACCCCTCCCTGACCACCTACACTCCCCCCTGGAACCCCTCCCTGACCACCTACACTCCCCCCCCTGGAACCCTCCCTGACCACCTACACTCCTCCCCTGGAACCCCTCCCTGACCACCTACACTCCCCCCTGGTAACCCCTCCCTGACCACCTACACTCTCCCCTCTGGACCTCTTTTACATCTACACTCCCCCACTGGACCCCTTCCTGACCACCTACATTCCCACCCTGGACCCCTTGACCACCTATCGCTCTCCCCTGGACCCCTCCCTAACCACCTACACTCTCCCCCCTGGACCTCTACCCGACCACCTACACTCTCCCCCCTGGACCCCTGCCTGACCACCTACACTCTCCCCCCTGGACCTCTACCCGACCACCTACACTCTCCCCCCCCTGGACACCTCCATGACCACCTACACTCCCTCCTGGACCTCTCCTGACCACCTACACTACCCCCGGACTACCTACACTCGCCCCTGGACCCCTACCTGACCACCTACACTCCCCCTGGACCCTTTCCTGACCACCTACACTCTTCCCCCTGTACCCCTCCCTGACCACCTACACTCTCCCCCTGACCCCTCCCTGACACCTACACTCCCCCCTGGACCCTCGCTGACCACCTACACTCTCCCCCTAGACCCCTCGCTGACCACCTACACTCTCCCCCCTGGACCTCTCCCTGACCACGTACACTCTCCCCCTGGACCCCTCCCTGACCATCGACACTCCTCCCTGGACCCCTCCCTGATCACCTACACTCCCACCCTGGACCCCTCCCTGACCACCTACACTCCCCCCTGGATGACTCCATGATCACCTACACTCCCACCCTGCACACCTACCTGACCCCTGGTAGTCAACAAAGGCAGAATTTGCTGGTTGTAGCAGAGACAGCAGTTCACCGCAGCTGTAAGGTTGATCCTCCATCTCTGCTGCTGCGGATGTAGTCTTATGATGCGTCACCGCCTCCAGCACTTCGTCAGCGACCATCAGACAACCCTACAATACAGAAGAACATAAGAACATGCGGCAGGCCTACTGGCTCATGCTAGCAGGTCCAAGTCTAGTCAGGCCCAAGTCACACCCACCCACTAATGTATTTATCCAATATGTTTTTAAACTACACAACGTCTTAGCTTCTATGACGGTACTCGGCAGTTTGTTCCACTCATCAACAACTTTGTTATCAAAGTAGTGCTTTCCTATATCCTTTCTGAATCTGAATTTTTCCATCGTAAAACCACTGCTGCGAGTCCTCTCGTGGGAAGTTATTTCTAGTATGGTATTTATATTCATTTTATTTATTCGTTTTCCATTAAACACCTCAATCCCCG